AATCTTCACATGGCTGAGAGCCACAAGACAGATGTAACATACCTTGTAGAGCAGAGAAGGGGAGCTCCAGTAGTTCACAGGCAGATGGTAATCGCTCCCCAAGGATCCCACTGCTCCTTTTAGTTAGCTGAGTCCCAGGGGACGTTGGCTTCAGCAGCCACTACCGGTCTGCCTCACTCCATAGCCAGGGTCCAGCTCCAGGCCAGCACAGCCCCCGCCATCCTCATGGTTCAGCCACTCCTGTACTACAGCCTTTCCAAAGCCCGACCTCCAAGATTAATTCCCCAGTAGTTCTGGCAGACTCATCTTAGGTATTTGGATTATCCGGTCTGTCAGCAGCCTTTCCAGAAACTCCGCTAGTTACAAAGGGTTAAGGCTAGACCTACCTACACATCAGCCACGTCTCCCAGAAAACTGCCAGTAACGAGGATTTTTATTCCCGTGGTACTACTCAGTGCTTACTGCCTCTCAGTATGGGCCCATGCTGCAGCATAGAGCATGAAGCAGAGACACCTTCGCTTTCAAGGAGTTAACTCAGATGCCAGCAGCAGTTCAGTTGTAGCAGCACGGAACTTGGCACAGGCTCCTTTCTTCCTACGGGGAACCACTCCCACCAAAACAAGGGCATCAGGTTTAGCTCCAATCATGTTGCAGACAAACATGACTTAAGAACAGCTCCTCAGTTAAGAGTTAGTAGTTAAGTATTTTTTAACAGCGGAACCAACAGCAGCCGATCCACAGTGGCTGAACCCCGAAGTCACAACTTCAGCTGGTACGACGTCACCTCCAGAGAAGCATCAGGCTTTCACCAGGCTGTGTGTACGTACACAAGGCCTTTTTCTTTCCCACAACAGCCCTTACAGCTTCCTGCACCACTTCTACCTCCCGAGCCATAACGCCCCTACTCCTGTCTCAAGTGCTCATTTTCCCCTGCTCTTTCCACAGTGATTTATTTTGTTTTCTTCCCTGCCTTTGCACGGTTATTGCAGAAGAATTAAATGATGCAGGCTATAACCCTAGCATTCTGGTACACACATCCCATTTTCTGATGACGGGCTCCCACAGGATCACTGGATTCCCTTCACAACAGTTTGTTAGAGGTGTACCGGAACACAGTCCAAGCACCCTTTGTGTCTGGGGTCTTTAACTACACAAGGAAATGCCGTTCCCTTGGTGAACAGACCTTGCGTGTAGAAAGCTCTAGAAAGTCTCCAGAAGAAATGAAGCAAACAAAGGGGATAATAAGGAAATCTGCATCACCAGAGGCAGGGCTCTACAAACCTGGCCTCCCGCTTCCAGGAGGTGGCAGCCTGAAGTTGTCTCTCCGTAATTCACTGGGTAAAGCAGGAGAGGTACCACAAACGCTGTGCTTTTCTCTTAATGAAGCACTTCCCTTTCCAAGTCCCACTCGTTAACAACTCCTGCAAATGCAAACTGCTTTTGTGGTTCCTTCTGGAAAACACGCGTTTATACTGCGCTGTTTAAAGTTTGTGCTCCTCCAGCATCATTTAAAATAATGCTTCCTGTTGTTGTAAGAGGTGTGTTAGTCTGCTAACAAACGCTTCAGAAGTCGGTTTGGGTGGTGCGTCCCCCCAAACAGATGAGCTTACTAGATAAATGAGTTTCTTTTGCTTTTGTTATGAGTTTTACACCTCCTTTGACAGGACCTAAATATCAATAATTATCACTGCCTCACAGGACAAATTCAGGATTTCTATCACAACTTGAATCTCTGAACAACAATGTTCCTAAATCTCAACAACCCATGTACTTACACCAATTTGGAAGCTAGGATGACTTTTGAAACTCAGTATGAATTTGAGGACTGTGTATTAAATTAATACCAATTTTCCTACTGAAATTAAAAGCAACACTTGTCAGAAGGAATGCAATGCCTACCTAATTTCCTCTTACGTGCATAGGTCAAATACTGCCTGCAACTTCAAAAGTACTTAATTACTTCATATTCACTTATCAAAGCCAGTTCAAGGCATTTCCCACTCGAGTTATTAAATGAGTAAGGGGGATTATTTTCACTGGGAATATCAAGATGTTAGAGAGTGTCATTAATCAGGCTCCAGATTTTGGTGTACAAAGTCACTACCTCATGCCAAAAAAAACCTCCACAAAAAAAAAAAAAGGAAGCGAGAAATGTGAACCAATGGGTTAATAGAGAAAAAGAAATCACTACTCTATGTAACTGCATACTACTAACATCAAAAATTTTTTTTTTTAAGAACATGCAGAACAGGTTGGGAGGAGAAAAGAAAGCTTGGCCGCAGGGTTTAGATGCAAAGACACTATATGACCTGATCACCCAGTGCATCTCTAAGAGCAGCTTGATTTTCTTCTTGATACTACTTCATAAAACTAAAGTCACATGAAACAACAAAGTCTGGTACATGACAAGTACAGAGTAAACACAAAGTTAATCCGTATCTGAAATATGATGAACTGACTGATGGAAATGATGAACTGACTGAAGAAATCCTTCCCGGAGAGGGTTGGGAGGCACTGGGACAGGTTCCCAGTGAAGCTGTGGATGCCCCATCCCTGGAAGTGTCCAAGGCCAGGCTGGATGAGGCTTGGAGCAACCTGGTCTAGTGGAAGGTGTCCCTGCCCGTGGCAGGGGGATTGGAACAAGACGGTCTTTAGGGTCCCTTGCAACATAAACCATTCTGTGGTTTTATGGGAAGAGGATTAGTAATTCTGCTAATCACGTTAAGTTTCCTTAATTCCTGAAGGGCCTTGTGCACTGAACTCACACATAAGGATTTGCAGAACATGGCTTGAAGCTGTGGGAGAATGCAGGTGGTATTCTGGAATACTGTCTACGGAAAAATGACATCCTCAGCCTCCTCTAGGCAACCTTAAGCCCAGACACCTAGACGTTTAAGATGACTAGTTCAGATGACTTCCTTAATCGCTGTTCAGAAATAAGCATTTCTAAACAGTGAGTCACTGTTGCTCAAGATTAGTGATAAGATTAATGCCTAAAACAGATTATGTTTTGTCCTCTGAAGGTGTTGTTCTTGACAGACTAGATCAGACTTACAGTTCTAACTTTCAGATACCCAGAGTGAAGCAAGGCGGCTCACGGGTTTCCATATGCTGTAACATGTTTTGAACAGCACAGAAAGATTGGCTAAATGAATAAAATCTTGTGGAATACACTTATAGATGATGCAACAGCAGCTTCTCAGGAAGATTACAGATCAAACTCATCCAATCAAAAAGCAGGACAATTATTTTTACACACACAAACAATGTACCTGGGGATTCAGTAATGGCATGGAATCCCCGCATATCAGTACAACTTACCTTAGTAATGGCAATCTGAAGTTCTTCACTTGATTTTCATGCGCAAGTTCTTCATCACACAAGCTAGGTTGTTTTCTGGTCCTTATTAAAGACTGGTTTATACATATCTTTTTGAACCAATTTAACAACTTAGCCATGGGAATCCAGTTTTCTACTGGAACTGGTTAAATGTGTATAACCTCCAGTGTGGTAAACACTTAATAGCAACTCCCCTTAAAAAACACTCATCTTTCCTGCCTCAAAACCTGTATTCCTGTCTCCTAGAAAAAAAAACCAACCCTGCAGCAATAATGACATTATAAGTGATTACAATATACGGGCACCTGCCATTATATTGACATAGAATGAGTCATAAAAAATTGACATGTAAAAAAGACCTTACAGTATCATTTACGTCTCCCTCTACTCATTTTAGTTATGTTTAACACAGTTTCTGCCAGAAAAGCTACAGTTTCTTCAGAAGCATAAAAAATACAAGATTATCAAAATGTGTATCTTAATGAGTTCACTATAAAAGAGGCACAGGGCCCAAGTAACAAAATATGCAACAAAAATATCATGGGAAGAACTATAACCATTTAAATATTTGATGTAGGAAAATAAAATTAAGATGTACAATGTACTATAATAATGAACAGCAACTTGAGTAGCTTGTGTTCCCTCAGTGTTTAAAAACTACATCTAAACAAATCTCATCTTAAAGCGAAGTTTATAAATTATCAGTTGCTTTACATATAATGTGCTTAAAAACTAGGTTAATTTCTGAAAATAAAATGTAAAATTAGCTGAAGTGTAGTTCCAAAAGCTGTGAGAACTGAATTTCTGAATTCGTTAATCATTGAGTGAGTAAACACTAGACCATGTCATGTGTTTTGCAAATGTGAAATGTAAGATTTCATCTGAAGGTCCACCACTGCATTATAAAACTGGAGTCAATCAAAAAATGTCATTAGCAGAAATGACTTGTTCAGGCTTCTAAGCAGTATTTACTTACCTTTATGGGTTACAAGGATGCTATCCAAAACCTGAAAAAATATGTAAGGCACTATCTCTGCCTAATACCCACTTAAGATTTGTTTGTGTGTGTGTGTGTATAATATGTGAAGTATGAACATAGAAAGGAGAGAGAGATAGAAAGGAGAGAGAACAAAACCAAAAAAAGGGCATTGCCTCCCCCCAAATTAAAAGCATGGTCCTTAAATTATTTCATGTAAGGAAGAAAAGCAGCAGGAAGAAGTTGGATATACTTGACAGTTAAGAGCCGTTTGCAGAAGTGCAAAGTATCGTTGGATACCACGTTGAAGATTTCGTTCTCGGCACTAGCACCTAAAATGCAAGACCTGAGACACAGGTGCCAAATCTAAATTACAAAAATACAATTCAAATTAGTACAGACAATTGCTGATTCACAGTGCACGCTGTGCAACCTTTTCGTAAAACTTCAACACAGATGTATTAATACTTACCTTTCCTAGATTAGAAACAGTTATTTTCTTTATGAGGAAAAAAATTAAAGCTTAATCATGTAGTTTTCATCCAGACATCAGCTGGGTAGATTGACAGGCTCTTAATCACGCAACTGTCACAGGATACAAATTAAACTTCTAAAAGTTTCTCCCATTTGTGTGTATCTCTGTGTGCGAATCTTTGAAGGTGGAGAAAAGTAGTTTGGGGCCATATTAAGAAAAAAACACCCCAAATCCTAAACTCCCTAGTCTTGCAGAGCCAAAAGTGGCAGGGTATTCAAAGAAAATGTATATGATTACTCAGGAATATCCCTATGCGATACATACATTTGAACAACAGTGAAGATGAAATGGCAGCAGTCCTTTCAGGCTTTACAGCATTGTAATTATGATCGCTTGCCCAGGACGGTGTGCTGTTTTCTGCTGCTGGCTCTTTAGCAAGAGGTTGAGTGTTTGCCTCAGTCTTGGCAGTTGTCACAACAGTCTTCATATTCATCTCTCTCTTCTCAGGAAACGGTCTCTTTTGGTTTGTAGGAGGCTTAACACCTGCCTGTACAATTAAAAGATGCTTAATTACTAATAAACATCAAATATTGTATTTTACAAACAAGCAGAGAAATAGTTACATGTACACAAACTTATTTTATAATAAGCTCCTGTAAACACATCTGAAATGTCATTTCCCACTCAAGTCTATAAAGCGAATGTAATATCCACCCTAAGTTTAAGAAATTAGAATGGTAAAGAAACCACCTCAAAACAACAGGATTTATCATGAAGTCGTGGGAATTTGTTTGTTTGTTTGAAAAACTACTGCCCATTTTATAGTGGTTTCAAAAGGGGAAGGAGAAGGCTTTGATTTCAACTTTTTGCTTCCCAAAGCACACATACAATGCAGTCACATTAGTTCACAATTCACAGCAATTCCAAATTACAACCCCAAAACCCAGTAATTTGGAATTAATAAAGTTGAATTAATTTGGAATGAAACAGAAATAAAAAAGTGTACTACTTATACTTTAAGTTAAATTTGGAATTAATTTTTTTTGAAGTGTGCTGCTATCTAGAAGGCTCTTTCAAGAAACTACTTGCTATCTAGCAGCTATTATTAAGATTTTCTAGAAAATGACAGGAAAACGTTATTGTCAGAAGAATTAAACAATTCTTTTGCCACAGAAAAAGGAAAGAGGACACAAAAAAGTTCCTCTTGAATGCAGGACTTGGTAATTTTACTTGTCTCAAAAAGGAGAGCACAGACAGAAGCCACTGTGCTTCAGGACAACTGCTCTGGATCACAAACATAAGCTTACCTGCAGCTGAGATTTTGGCATGGCAGGTTTTTCAGATTTTGGTTTGATCTTCTCTTTAGGTTTTGGTTTTGCGTCTTTGCCAGCACTTAAAAACTTCATCGTGGCTGCTGCGTGTTTGAGAATGCAGTCATTGCTGCAATACACGGAATCGGGCTGAGCCAGGTTAGAACAGCCGGGACCAATGCACTTCGATGCGCCAGCAGCTTCAATAACCTACAGATTGAAATGGAGGGATGTCAAGCTTTGCAAGGGAAAACAGAAACATACCTTTATAAAATCAAGAAAGGCTTACAGAAGTGCAAAGTGCAGGTACGGCTGTTGGCAACTTGCACAACTGTCAGAGCAAAAACAACTTTCACTCCTGATGTAACAGAAACAACCCATATAAATGTAAGAATTTCACTCTTTTAACACATTCATTTTAGAATGTGTTGTATTTTCAAGCAGTTTGTCTGCCTCAAGGGAACTAAGGGAGGCTGGTTTCCTAAATGTTCAGATCCCATGAGCACACAGATGCTGTTTTCTGATCCTCTGCATCATGTGAGAAATCTCCTTAGTAAGGCAGGACTGGTTTCCCAAGAACAAGGTTTCTAAACCACATTTCAGGATGTTTCACCATCAGCAGCTGTCCTCAGCCATGCACACAGGCAAAAGGACGCACTCATCTGTTCAGGTGTACAGAGCATTCTTGCTCTAGAGCTTTACGCCAAGTTTAAGTTTAGAAGTCTCCAAGTTACATAAACATAACCATTCTCCTAGACAATTCTGCCACAGCCTACTTATACACTGAGAAGTTTGCCATGTGCAGTCTCTATTTTCCTCTACTCCATTACTCTCTATTTATATCTAAGTGTATTATATGAAGCACTTCCCCCTCAAATATTAAGATGTAGAAAACACCACATTCCTTGAAAAGAGAGCACATTAGGTCCATGTCTAGAAATATGTGAAAGCTCTTTAGATGCCAACATGTCACCTCCAGGTATTATGCCTTTAGTCTCGCTCTTCTAGACCGCTCTTGGAAGTGTCATACAACCGACCCAGCATCAGAACTACTGAGTTCTAGACAGCCCCTCCTCCATCAATAAACTGCAATTTGAAATTACCAAAAGTAAGTTTTTCAGGAATACTGGCAGGGAAAAAGAAAAATAAAACATGCATAGTGTGGCTAATTTTTCCCCAAAAGTCAGTAAGACAGCATTATCTGCTGCAGTCTACCAAAACCTGGGTTTGGGAATTTTTCCATTAAAATTAAATTTATGCTTTAGAATATTTTTCTGTCATGTACACACTAAACTGTGAAGGACGAGAAAGAAGTATCAATTCACATTCCCTAAAAGCACCTCAAACTTCAGATTAACTGAGCAGTTGTTTCTAATTAAGGGTATTTACACAGATGACAAAACTTTCAGTGTTGATGTCTGTACATTAACCATTTCCAGGAGTTGTAATCACAAACCAGAACTCCGCAGCTAGAGGTGCTTATGGACAGCAACAAAAAGGAGTTAAAGTGCTTGGAACCCCGGTGTAAGGGAACTGAGTAATGAGACTGTTCAGTCACTGTAACAGAACGATTGCAGCACACACGAAATAGCAGTTGTATTCGCTTAGAAAAGGCAGGGAATTGGAGTGGTGCTTGTTTACACAAGCCAGAGGGACCTTAATGGCAGGAAGAGGGACAGCAAGGGTTAAAAGACAGACAGACTTGACTGTCCAGTTCTCTCAAAACGTGGTACCACCCAGCAAACAAGTAGAGCAGTTCCACTCCATTTCCAAATCCCAAAAGAATACCTAAAATGTAAGTTCTTCAGTAAGAGGCAGCGAGTTAATAGTAATTATGTTTTTCTTTCAAAGGAGAGATACCTAACATGTTCAAGTAACTTGTTAGCATGCGAATATCAAAAGAGTAATTGGTGATACTCAGAAACAGAGCTTAAAGTTCATACTAACACTGCCAGTGAAATGCAGACAAATGCCCACAGAACTGGTTATGTACAAAAAAGTACAAACATGTTTGAAAACATTGTTGAGAAAAGTACTGTTTTCTACGCATTTACCTTAAGAGTGAAAATTTATATATGAATCTCAAACTGTTCAATCTACACATTAAGCTTGTTATGCTGACACAGCCAGCTCTGCTGTTTAAACTGACTACAAGTGGGGGCGTGTTCCATAAACGTTTTGTAGAAAGTGTACTACAACAGGAAGATTTCTCCAGAGAGAAGCTTATAAACAAAGCTTTTAATACTTATTCTAGGGATGATTTCAAAATGTAAAGATTAGGCATCAAAGAACAAATTCATACAGAAAAAAATGTGAATAGATGTAGCATTCTAACAGCAAATACAGTAAACATGTTCTTCAAGGCATTGCAAGATGGAAAAACATGAAGAAACCTGAAGAAGGATCAGGACAAAAATCAGAACTTCAAAGACTAATTGGAAGCACAGAGGAGGTACAGCTGGAATTAACATTGGCAAGAGTCTGCTGGAGTTAAGAAAAAGGTTTCACTACCATTGAAAATGTCCAAAATTGTTAGAGATTATTTCAAAGCTAGCATAAACCAGTCCAGAATTCTGTCATTTTTATGACAAGAACACATTTTTGACTTCCAAAACAGTATTCAGAAAGGGCAAAATAGCACAAAGCATGTAGTATAGTTCCTAACTCCTATACATGACTTTTTAATCCCCCAATTCAAAGGAAAACACTTCTTTATGTTTTGTTCCTGTACTGATAAACTGTAGGTAAATTTCTGCTAAACAGTAATATTTAGTGTTGTTCAGCTTCATATATAGTTTTAAAAAAACAAGTCAGATTTACAGCCATACAAGACATTGTCTCCATGTACTCAGTGAAACAAAAAAGTAAACAATTAAAATACTTACAGGTTGAAATATCTTTAGTTTTTTCTTCCCACTTGGATTTGCAGCTTTTTCAATCCTACCCTTAATTCCTTGGTCCTCAATAGATTTTTGTTCAATTGTTCCTATGCTGGTGAATTCTGTGCCATCCACATTCACTTGCCCTGCTTTAGCTTCCTGCTGGTCTAGTTCTGAAACGGACTCATCCTGTCCCTGTAGAATGGTGCAGTTTGGGCAGATGTAGTCTTCACCATTCCGTTCCAACAACCGCCCTCGAGCCTCAGAAATGCCCACGCAGTCACCATGAAACCATTCCTCACATCTGTCACAACAAATCATAAACCTGAAAAACACCAAGGAACAGTAAAACACTGAAACCAAGAGACAATTAATGCTCAAGAGATGTTTCAAGCAGCAAAGTGATGCTTGAAAAAAACCCAAAGTACCAGTATACCTCACTGTTCATTTCTGTATTAAGTTGTTGCCCCTTTTTAAATATTTGTTATAAACATCCCCCCCCAACTTCAAACCCACCCAACAGCTTAGTTACATACACTCCAAAAGCAAGCATTAGCATTTGGTTTAGTTTTTCGTGGCAGAACCATTCCAACTACCTGCACTGCCTGTTTGGCTGAAACCTTTGCCCACCTGTTGTTATGAGGCTGACGGCAAATACAATACAGTGCGTTTGGGTCATAAATCTCAGACTCAGGTTTGCTTTTGGGAAGTTCTTCAGGTTCTTCATCTGTGACCTCTTTTGAGCCAAGGGCAGGCTTTACCTCCTTCTGAACCGGGATATCTTTGCTATCTTCCTGAGACACAGCCACTTGACTTGCAATCTCAGTGCCGTCTGTGGTATCAGGCTCTTGTTTGACAGGCAACTCAGACTCAACTTGTTTTTCCGACTGGACATCACCAGTTTCTGTAGGATCTTGTTCTGAATTTCTTTTCCTCAGGCGGTGCTGTATATCCTTCAACGTCACCTGAACAGGTTTCTGTTCAATGCGTTTGTTCCTCAGTCGATTCTGCAGTTCCTTTAGTGTTAACCCATCACTATCACTATCAGAAGTATCTCCTTCTTCTTCTTCCTCTTCTTCTTCCACCTCTTCTTCTTCTTCCTCCTCCTCCTCCTCTTTAGTGCGTCTACTTTTAGAGCCTTTCTGATCCTTACTGCTCCTAGTCATAATCCTCCGAGTTACAGGTTTTGTATCTGGAGTGCTCTCAACACTATCTTCTGAAGCGGTTTCGGCATCCGTAGCTGGACAGGATGCTGGTTCACTGGAATCTTCCAGAATAGTAGGAACACTCCTCCTTCCCCTGCGCCTGACTGTTGTAAGAAATTCTTCCACTCTTTAAAAAGTTCGCTTTGGTTTCCGTCCACTACGCCTCAGGTTTAAGCTTTGTTGCTGATGTGGATGTTGTTCACTGGAGTCCACATCAACATCTCCTGCGCTTTCTCGCTTCGCAATTGTCGTCCTTCGGAACCCCCAGGTCTTCCTGAATTCTTTACTTGTAGGCTTGATAGTTTTTTGTTCCTCCTCATTGCTTTGCTCACCTTTCTCATCCAAAACTGATGCTAAAAACAAGGGAAGAGTTATTAAACCCGTGGTGAAAAGATGGTTTTTCTTACAAGTTTTTTTCAAAACAGTATCATTTTCTTTGTGATAATACAGATATATCTATATCTCCACCTCATTTTGAGCCTGAAAACAGATAAAACACTTTCTTGTGAATGTAATACCACAGCAGTAGCAATTAAGTACATCACTGAACACCCTGCCAACATAACGCAGCTGTTATGAACGCTTTCATTATTTAAAAAATATGTATATACACATACAACACACAGTGGACAAATAAGCATATTTTCTGCTCGGTTTAAAAGGAATAAATCTTACCAGGAGAGCTATTTTCCATGTTGTCAGTATTAGATTCTGATTCTAATGGCACTGGCTGTGAATCTACAGCTTGTTCCATAGTACAGACACCACACTCCTCACCCTGAAAGGCTGAAGAGAAACACAAGGTTCAAAACTCGATTCAAAAATATTCATAGCTTAAGCAATTATTAAATATTCAACGAATACATAAGTTGAATTTCAAGGCACTAATTGTCACTGAATACCAAGAAAAAGTTGACTGAATTCCTTCACGGTCAAAGAACTCAGTGAAGTATGAGCTGGACACTACACTGACATACTCTATTAAACCCTTAGGATTTCTGGTAATTCTGGTATTTTCGGATATTTCTCAAAAAACTCCTTTCATGGTATGAACCTATTCCCTGGGGTATGTCTGGTGAAAAACCCATAGCAGTCCCACTCCTTACACAGACCCAGGAACCGTGCATGCACCAGTATGACTGACCATGAGGCAGAACAAGGAGTCATCCAGACAGCACAGAGACAGTTCGGGTCCTAGAGGTGAGAACGGTATCTGATACCAGTAACATTCTCTGGTGGGAAGGACTGCTGATTATATCCGGCAGGGTGAGGGACAAGGTAGACTCAACAGCCAGTTTAAAGAAATTCAAAGTTACTGCTGTTTAGGTAATACAGGGTTAGTCAAAGAATAATGAGGTTTTTGATTTTAAACAAAATGTGAAACCAGAAGTATCTCAGCCTTCCTTATTAAAATAAACTAGGTCTAGACCTTGTCTATTAAAGTTTAGCTGCTATTGTTACGTTGTTTCAGAAACACTGGTGAGTATTCAGGATAAAACACCACACTTTCCCTTCATTAGCTCTCTATCAGGGTTTATTGGAGAGAAGTAGTTATACAGAAAAGAACAAAATAAGCATATTTTCAAGCTCTTTTTTTTTCCCCAAAGAAAATATCTGCATTAAATGAAACTTGAGAAAGGCTGATCCTTGGCATGGTTGTTTACAAAAAGGTTTTCAGCCTATATGATCTACCAGAATGACAAAAAAAATAAAGAGATTCAGCAAAGAACCTCCAACCACCACAGGTGGAGCTTTGGCAGGGGAGAATCCATGCTGACAACCAGGCTCCCTTTTTTCCTAGAAGTCTTTTCCAGCATACTAGGAAACTCCATTATTTGAGAAGACAGAAAATAAGCAAATAACAGAAATAAATATAAAACCTGAGACCTCATTTTAAGTAATTAAAGAATAGCATGGTTTGAACAAGTATTAAAGTTGGGTTTACATCATGGTGCAATGTGTTAAATGAGTTGCATGCCATGTAAATCCTCTCCTAAATGAATGCAAAAACTGTTTTGCGGTTACTGCAATTACATTGCTCATGTGAAGCTGTAATATGCAGTAGTAAGTATGCCTCAATGACCTGGGTAAACACTAAGTTTTAAAAACAACATGAAACATCCCCCAGCTCTACTCAAGAAACATTCTTGGAGGAGTTATGTACATATTTCTGGCTCAAAAATTGCACAAAACTAAAAGGGAACACTAACAGAATTTCTAAATAACAGTACTTGCTGAAAGAATCCAAGATGTTTCTCACAGCTGTACATATTACAAGTTTTCAGAGGCATCCTTTAGTAAGCTTTTTCCCAATCTTGCAGTACACACTGGTGATAAATGTCTCCTTATTTCACATACTGCATCAGCTGCATCACTGTTTGGCCTTACCAGACATGAATGCCTGCAGTGCAGCTCCTCTCTTTCTAGTACTACATTTAAGAATGCTAAAACAGAAATGCCACTGTCAGTGCTATGGAAACATACACAGCCATGCAAATATGTTTAAAAACTTAACCCTTAAGTTGTAACTGAAGAGCAATTTCAGTGAGATACTATGAATGTAGCTGTGAAAGCAGCAGACTTTGCAACATCAATTTAGATAGTGAATGATCACTTTTTATTCTGGCTGTAATGTTAAAAGTAAATTTTAAACCTGTGCTACACAGGTAAAAGGCTGCAACTGTTTTAATCCAATATGACGTTCCATTAAATTCTCTTGGCACAAAAAAATCACTCACTAGAATTTTTAAACTTTAAACTTTTTAAACTTTTGTTGTTTTTTAAACAACACTAATACTATATCCACACCAGGAAAAGGCTGCAGTGGAAGTAAGGGAACAAGTCAAAACAGTTAAAGTTTACATCCTTGTTTACCTTGAAAGATGAAGAAGCGTTAAAAACTACAGACAGAGTAAATCCAAATTCTTAGACTGAATATTCCAGATAAAATGTAAGGAAATAAGAAGTCTCTTCAATGTCCCCTACATGCTTTACCTGATACAGCATTAGAGGTTCCAATGGTTTCTCCCCGTAGAGCTGAATGAAAAGGAGAGCCAGAGGAGGGCAGTAAAGGATCGAAGTCATTCAGCATTATCCTTCCGGCACATGCTGAATTTCCTGGTTCAGAAGTGCCAGAAAGAGTCTCTGAGTTGTCAGCAAGACCAAAGACTAACGATCCTGGTGGCTCCTGCGAAAAAACCCAAAAGGAGACAACGTAAGGCACTGATGTATTTATGAACTTACCTTATTATTGTATACTTAAGTCTGGAATTGTTTTGCCTCTATTACATTACTAAGCAAATTCTGTTATTTTGCCTCTTTGACAGTTTTCTGCTTTCAGAGAAACTCAGAAACTGGAATGAAAAGTAAAAGTAAAGCAGTACCACCTCCACACTTACCAACTGTTCAGACCTCTGAAATACACACTAAGTATGACTGTAGTCTCATCAATTCATTTAGATCCCCATTAAGACTTCCAAGAACAGTAACAAACTGCAATCGACAAAGGTGCTCCATTTACAGCATTCAAAAGCATTCCCAGAGTGACACTTGCTAAGCGCGCACTGGGCAACGAAAACGCAGAAATGCTTTTAAACTCCATCAGCATGCCCAAGTTTACAGTAGGGAATGAAATTTCATCACAGAAGACATTTGCAGCTTTGAGGATTTATATCCAAGGGGCTACTCGGTGGGTTTGCAAGGTGGGATAATAAAAATGTATAGCTGAGCTTCAGAATTAGGGAATATTCCTTATTACTGTCCCTTTGCCTAATAAGATTTGCAATGCAGAAAATTTCAGAAGCTTTATTTCAAGGACAGCGGATTACACCAATAACAAACTGTCCCCAAAATTAACCCTTGGAAAATATTTCAAAAATCACAAGGCATTTTCATCTAAAGCATCTGAACAGCTGTTAAGCCCAGGGGTCCCAAATCACATACAGAACTGCAATGGAAATGTCAAGAGCTCACCTGAGCTTGAAAATTAGTAGGAAATGCCTGCATTTAACCCTAAGTAGTCTACCAAACTAGAAGACTTGAAAAGAATTTGGGAGGAAAAGAAGGACCAGATGGACATTAAGAAAAAGTCACTTTTGAACTGGCCTATAAAATGAATCATGGAAGACAAAAGGACAATACTGAACAAGACTCTGCGTGTCAGCATCCTGCAGTTAAAGAGCAGGGGACCTGCCATAATAGATGTAGGAAAAAACTTGAGCATTAATGATTCTTTCAGAGGGGTACATACTGATTGTTAACCCTCCAGGTGGGGAGACACAAACGTAAGAACAGATTACATAATCCTCCTTAGACATGGCAATACACAGCCTGACTTCTCCTTTTAAAAATACCTCATTTTTTTCAAGTCTCTCATGCCCCCAGCTCTTAAAGCATCTTTTCTGTTCAGCAACACATTTTACTTCTTAATCAACTATCATCTCTAGATGTCTGCAATTCCATCCCACTGTCATGAAAATAAGGAGAGGGGAAGAGGCAAACCCCTCCCCAAATTTGATTTTCATCAGTGCATCACTTGATTCCATGAAAATAAACCTCAAGATTTGCATGACTGTGGCCAAGCAGAATTAGGAAAATACTGAGTATATAGCTAGATCCACATCAGTATTTCCTTCCCCTCTACCTTCTCTGTAGGGGATTATGTACATTATACACATTCGTTCCCTCAGCCAACTATTCCCACTCCAAGAGAGGAGAAAAAAATAGACAAAAAAGACAGTAAAATAAACTCTTTTTACAGACCCTAGTGCTAAATCTCCCGGTATTGAATACCTGCTCTAATATGCATTTTGCTCCATTGTCTGGATCAGTGATTACATCCAGGGAGTCAGTCACTGATGGCTGAAGACAGTCTGAGTTTAAAGTGCCTCCTTCCATGCTGCTGCTCTGTAATAACCTTTCAATCTCCCTGTTCAGAATCTCCAACTGATCACACATCAGGGAATTTTTAAGTGATATGCCTAAAGGAAGAGGGAAAGTCAGCTAATCAACTCTAATACTGAATGTGAAAACAAACTGTACCTCCAGAACATAAAAAAGTACATTCTATTTGAATAATTTATCCAGTAACATACTAAAGAAACAATTGTCTAAAGGATGGTCTTCACAGTGCACAATTATGTTATCTGTGCATTCAAGGCCCTGTGTGCAACGTGCTCTTTACAATCATGTTTGGGCCACAGAGCCAGTATCACTGACGCATCCCAAATCCAGACCCAGCACTCTCTCTGCTTGGGAGACATTCTGGCTCGTTGAACGCAATACAATTTAAGTGGTAGCCATACCCCACCCAGCGGTAAGGTTGCACACTGCAGTCTACAGCTCCAATTTAACAGTAAAAGAGCGTAAAACCACAAATAATGATTGAAAACTAAGATTTTATGCAAGAATCATGATGCTTTTTCCATTACCAGACGGTATGTCATTATTATTACCTGTATTATTACCTCTATTACTTACAGCAAAACACTAACAAAAGTACAGTTTTTAAATAATTTCAAAATTTGTGAAGTATAAAAATTCAGTACACTTAACACACTACAATCACAGACCCCCTATATTTGCTATATAATGCTTGGTTTATTATTATTATTTAATATTTCCATTTTTTACTCTACCCATTTGGTCTAAGTTATTTTTCATTAAAAACAGAGTATGTTTCAAACTCATTTTCATGAATCTGTTCTTGCAGAATTGCATGTTAATATAGGTCAAACTTAAGTGCATAAAAACCCCACCCACAAATATTGTAAGAAAACAAAAGCACAAAGCCTTAATTCACAATTACACTTTTAAACCCAGCAAGCCTGCTGGCACTTGTAAACAAACATTCTGCTTGCAAAAATATTTATTACAATATATGGCAGCTCTGGAAATCTTCAAATATCTGATTCTCTTGCCAAGTAAGTATGATTTTTTGGTTTGTTTTGCTGGTTTTGTTCTCAAGTTAACTATTCAATTACAGTGGACATACAGCAATTTAAGCTGAAGCAGCAAACTGGTTATCTTGTTTTAAAGGAACTGAACATCTGTGATCAACTTAATCTCATTCCTCCTAATACAGTACATTAATACTTTCTGAAACTGGAAGTTCTAGCTGGAAATGGAAAATTATTGGTTTTCCTCTGACAGACAATTCCCATCAGCACCATCCTGCCTTCTGCCACATCTCCTTTAGAAAGGGTATTATGTACCTTTGAAAAATTTGAGGAAAGAATCGCTATGAACGATGGGACAGAAAGGCAAAATAACATTAATAATTTAATAATACTGTTGCTTACTATGAAGTCCTTGGTTTTGATTAAGTTAACTTCTGTGATAAGCAATTTCCTCTGTGAAAATGTGTAAGCTTTTAGGACCAACTACAAATAAAGTTAGAAACACAACTCGAGTTTCCTAAAGGAAAAATCTCTTCCTCTTCACAGATGAAGTAAGCTTTGCCAATATACACCCCAAGCTGAGTTAAATGGTTACATAACATACAGTGGGTCTGCATTAAACAAAGGATTAACAGTGATTATTAAATTCATGCTTATGGACTACGAAGAACGAAGTACAACCCTCACACTACCTGTGCTGCTGCTATCCTGGTCCTTTCTCCCGTGCTCAGTTACTTGGTCTATACCACATCCACCCACATACCTCTACTAAGGTGTCTGTTTCTTTGGCAAAGAGTTTACTAACCCAGCAGAAAATAAACCCAGAGTGATCCAAAAATATTTTAAAAAATGAGCATCAAAAGTAGTGTAAAGACCTGGCAAGAGGAGCGATGGAGAACAAGACACCCTTAAGCAGCAAGGCGCTACACCAGCTCAGCTGACCTCACTCAACACACACACGATGGCCCATGGCACAAGTGATCATCGGATCTTAGCCAGCAGATTTCATTGACTGCCCCCTCAGTCAAGACAGTTTTAAGCTTGCAAACTGTAATAACGTGAGCTTTCCAGTGAAACAGAACAGTCACCTAAGTGCAAAGCATAAACTTGATGCATAATGTCTTGAGGAAGAATATTCAGCCAAGAAAATGTTTATTCAGATCTTTCCTCTCCCATTAGTTTAGAGGTAAAAGGTTCCACTTTCCCCAAAACAAGCTAGGCATTTGAATTCATCCTGGACCTAAATTCCAGAAGCAACTGAAGCACAAAAGTATCCTACCCTAGAAAAAATCCCAAAACTGTCACAAGCTTTCAATTTCAATTTGGTCAACTATTCCCAAGCAATGAAAAGCTGGAAACACAGGGCTGCCCGCTCAGTATGACTACAGAAGCCATCCCTCACATTCAGCATCCCTGTGAATTCTCTACCTACTGCAAACCTGTGTGGGTTTCAGTATACCTGGCTTGGAGAAATTCCAGAGCAGCATTAACAGCCAGTCTAACAGAGAAAAGAGATTCCCAAATTCCAAATCCTGTTACCACTATATCACTTGTTCACAAACACACAATACACGTTAAAAATCCATCCTCTAACACATCTTTATTCATCAATAAAAAGAGGGAAGCTTGTAATCTCTCTACTCTCGCATTCAGACAAAACCTCAAGGAAAGCACACTGCTACCTACTGCCACGTTTGTAACCCAACCGCTTACAAGGATCAGGCAGAAAGGGAGATTTACACCAGTAACACTGAGATATTCATTATCTTAATTATCAGGGCTGAGGGATATTAGTTACAGGACAGGCAGCTTGAAGACACCTGGATCTGCCGATGATGCCTTCGTTAAGCCCTTTTTAAGAAGCCTCAATATAACATCTTAATCTGATGATGACAGAGTAAAGCTCTTAAAGAACACCAGCATTTCCCCATCTTTGTGTGTTTCCATTTTTAGACTAAAGGCCAGTTCAGCATATTACCAACAAATACACATTCAGATCACTATCTCCACTTTTATTTTCTGTCATTCCCCTGAAGAGGTAATAAAACCTTCAGTGGGTCCACTGACTGCATGAAGATTTTGTCTTTCCTAGAACTCATCGTTTTAACTCCATAAAGAGTTCCCTGCCTCAGTTAACCTGGAAGACTCCACTCTTAAAAAGGATCTTGAAAGACTGCTTAGCAATAAAACCTGTAACAGGAACTAAAAACAACCAAAAGAAATAATTTCTCCTTTATCTGAGAATTTGTG